AGGCCAGGGGTGCAGGGGTGATGAGAGGATTCATCAGAGACAGAGTGGGGAGCAGAACAGGCTGACTGATGAAGTACACTGCTGAGGGGAGCAGAGAATGGGTTAGGAGACACCATGTAGATCACCTCTGGGCAGATCAAACTCATGCTGAAGTGGCTTTAGCAGGTTAGTGCTGTGCTTTAACCTGCTGCACCACCAGGGAGGGCCCTGTTTTCTACTGACTTGTTTGGATTTTCTTAAAAGCAAAAAAATTGTTTATTTTGTACAATATTTAATTTTTTGACCCACTGGTTTCCTTTAGGATATATTTTTGATACTCTGTTTGTTGATTGTGTTACTGAGGTAGTCGGGGTTTTTTCTGAATTTTGTTGTATATCCTTGACTTGCTGTTCTGCATCTACTCTTGAGTTCTTCTAATTCTTTACATTTCTTTATGATGGTGGGCCCTCCCCGGGGGTTCAGTGGGTTAAAGTGTACACTGCAAGCTAGCCTCAGCTGCTTCCATCCTAGTTTGATCCCCACCCCAGAGGTGATCCACATGGCACAGCAGACATCTTCTGACCAGCCCGCTGCTCCCCTCAGCAGTGTACTTAATTGATATTCCTGTTCTGTTCCCCACTCTGTCTCTGGTGAATCCTCTCACTGCCCTGCACCTCTGGCCTGTAGCCTCATTTCTGTATCTATAAATAGATAAATCTTTTTAAAAAGAATTCTTTATGATGGCATGCTTGAATTATGTATCTTCCTGTTTTTGTGTTTAGGTTCTGGAGATAAGTCTCCATATGTGGTGCTGTAGTTCCCTTTGGGCTGCTTTTTGTTATTTTCTCTCCCCCCCCCCTTTTTCCTAGGACCTCTCTGCTGTGTTTCACCTCCAGAAGACTTTTCTCCACCCCTCCTCACTGGGTTGGGGTAGAAGATAGCTGGGGTCACCATTGTCAGGCAGTGCTGTGCATGCATGCTCTGGGACGGGAATCTGCCTCTAAGGCCCCTGGTAGCTCAGCTGGTGCAAGGGGATGTCCTGAGGGAAGGTGGGGTTACCAGTGAAGGGGGAGTCCCTGCCTCTCACTGAGGACTGCATCAGTTCCCAAGGCCTCTCACTTACTTTCTATTTGCTATTGTTCCAAACTCTTCAGAATCAGAGCAAAAGAATCAAGTTTCATGTAGTGAGACCAAGACTGTGGGGCTTTCTTTGTTTTAGAAACCTTACTTCCTCTCCTTTGGCAGTCACTGGGATTGATTCCTAGGCCAAACATCATGAATAAAACTTGTCTAGGACCTTCACTTCTTTCAGGTGTTAAATCTAACCTTCCCAGTTTATAACATTTTTTTGGGCTAGTGAACAAGTACTTTCTAGTAGTGTTTTGTAATATTTTGTTTATGGTTTATTGTTATATGACCTATATTGTTATATGACCTAATAAGAACTACTTAGCCAAGACCAGAAGTAAACATTCTACATATTAGCAGCAGAATTTGAAATTACAATAGCCTTAACTCAGTAGGTGGTAACTCATATACAAATGATCTTCCTTTGTTATAAAAGCACTTTAATGTAGATTACCTGATTTATTAATGATGACTTGATGACATAGCATTAAATATTAAGTGCCTAGGTACTACTATATTTTTTGCTCTAAACTGGCCATAAAATCAATCCAGAGCCTAAAATTCAGCATGAAAATATATGTAACATAATTAATATGGTAGCTAAAATAAGTTGGGAAGGAAGAAGGAAAGTAGTAGTAGAAACTTTAGTTAAGAGAAAGAACAGGAGAATTTTGTACCTTCCAAGATAAAACTGTTTACACCAAGCATAAGTATGTAAAGTAATTGTTTTTTGCTATGTGGGTCTTTCACAGTTCTTTAAACTTCAGTTTAAGCTTCCTTGAATGTCCTTTTATTTCCCTCAGCTCTCTAGACTAGCTTGGTGTTTGCCATCCTGCCACCTCATGCTCTTTCTCAGTGTTCCTTTGCTTTATTGTGTTACTATTACTTACTTTATAAAACGTTAAAAATAATTTTGTTTTTGTAACATTTATCATAGTTTGTAATTTATTCAAGCTTAATTTGTCCTCCCATGAGGACAGAGATCATGTTTTTATATTCCCAGCTCCTTATAACCCAAAACACCAACACATATTAGATACGCTGCACATAATTTTGAATAAATATATATACACACAAACATAAACGAGAATCAGGGAATGCAAAGTAAGAAAACTATGAACTTTTTATCATAGTCATTCTAAAAACTCTTCAGTAAAGGGTTAGTTTTTCCTATCTGCATTTTGAAAGAGATGATAAGCATGAGTTGAGTTGAAGAAGCTATTGAGGAAATGTTTCAAATTAGTTGCTGGAAAGAACTTATGAAGATGATTTGGGAAAATTATTAAAATAATATTGGCAACATTGTTGATTCTGCTCTGTAAATTATCAGTGAAAGAAATTTTTATCGACATTTTAAAAGCTATTAGGTACTGAGAAGTAATTTTGAAGTGTTTTTTTAAAAAGAGTTCATACTAAGAATGGAGGACCACAAAAGGCAGTGATTTTCAGTGGTAGGACAATGAGGCATGGAGGTAAATGATGAAAGGCAATATCTTTGCCTCTTATTTCTGTGTTTCACAGTTCCAAGGTCCTGCTGTAATAGGAATTTAGGGGCAAGTGTTAAAACCTATTATAATAAGATTTCTTGTTCTGCAGCTCTTGGATAAGCACAAGAATACAGAGAGCATGGTGGAGCTCCTGGACTTATATCAGATGGAGGATGAAGCATACAGCAGTCTTGCAGAAGCCACAACTGAACTCTATCAGTATTTATTACAGCCATTCCGAGACATGAGAGAACTTGCCATGCTAAGAAGACAGCAAATCAAGGTATTTTCTTTAATCCAAATAGTAACCTGTTTCATAGTTCTCAGCCTGAGAACATTTTAATTTGTGGAGGCTTTTTTTTTTTAATGCAGCTATTTGGTTCTTTCTCTCTAAATATTCTTGATTAGTATGTTTGTATTACTTATAGCTTCAGCACCTCATTTTAAAGCATCTCAAAATGTGATTTTGCTGAGTAGCCAAGATTGAGACTAGCCTAGAAAGTAAAGTTATAAATACATTAAGAGATTCCTGTACTTTTTTCCTGCCTCTCTTTTTTTTAATTTTTTGAGTCCTGAGTAGTCCTATACGTCTTTACCAGAAGTTTTAGGAATATTTGTTTTGGGAAAACCTTGTTTTTAAAGTTAATGTGTCTGAAGTGCTTCTAGTTGATTCAGAACATGATTAATGAGCAAACGAACTCACTAACTGATCCTGACTCATTTAATACTTGCTGAAAGTAAATAATCCAGAAACTGAAAGGCATCCCAACTCTCCCCCAACCCCATTGCCTAATGTAGCCAGTTACCTCATTTTACTAATTATGTTTAGATGAATTTTCCTTTTTTAAAGATTTATTTATTTGTGCACACAGAACTGGGGTGCAGGCCAGAGGCTCAGGAGTGGTGAGAGGCTTCACCAGAGACAGAGTGGGGAGCAGAACAGGCAGATCTACTAAGTACACTGCTGAGGGGAGCAGCGGGCGGGTCAGGAGAGGTCTGCCACGCCATGTGGTCACCTCTGGGGGAGGCAGGAATTGAACTCATGAGGAAGCAGCTTTAGATTCTTAGTGCTGTGCTTTAATCCGCTGCGCTACCAGGGAGGGCCTAGATGAATTTTCAGTTGTACTTTTGTTTCTTCATTCTCAGGATAGAGCAAAACTACAGGTGCCTTGGGTAAAATAGAAATGATACCTACCCCTATACCCTATCCCAACAAACAAATTAGAAAAAGACCCCTTCTGAGTAAATACAGCAGACTTGCCTTGGTACAAAATGTGAGACTGGATTTTGGTCTCTCATCTGTCCCTTTGATTGGGTGTCTTCGTGCAGGGTGCAATTTGTACACTATTGGACCACTAATAGCTCTTATTTGAGCTGTTTTGTTCCTTTGGTTTCCTTACCTTTAGATTTCTACCACCTTTTTAAAAAAAGACATTTTGGGCCCTCCCTGGTGGTATAGTGGGTTAGAGTAGCACTGTGAAGCTAGCCACAGCCACTGAGGTGTAAGTTCAATCCTCAGCCAGGAGCTGACCCACACAGTGTGGCAGACCTTTCCTGTCCTGCCTGCTGCTATCCTCAGCAGTATATTTCAGTCAGTCTACCTGTTCTGTTCCCCAATCTGTGTCTGGTGAATCCTCATACTGGCACCTCTGGCCTGTTCCCCAGTTCTTGTATTCATAAATAAATAAATCTTTAAAAAAAAACAAAAACAGGCCCTCCCTGGTGGCGCAGCAGGTTAAAGCACAGCACTGAGAAGCTAAAGCCACTCCGCATGAGTTCTATTCCCGCCTGCCCCGGAGGTGACCACATGGTGGGCAGACCTCTCCTGACCCACCCCGCTGTTCCCCTCAGGCAACCTGTTCTGTTCCCCATTCTGTCTCTGGTGAAGCCTCTCACCGCCCCTGAGCCTCTGGCCTGTTACCCCAGTTCTGTATGCACAAATAAATAAATAAAATCTTTAAAAAAAAAATTTTTTTTAAAAAGTACATTTCATACTCTTCTGAAAACATCATGTATATTTTCTTTGAATATAAAATTGCAGAACTAGATGCTGTCAAATCTAATCACATTATTTTCATCAAGACTCACTCTCAGGTAACTCCTAGACCTGGAAAATTTGTGTTATGACTACTGTTATATTAATATATTCACAGATTTATCTTGACATTTTCTCACCTAAGAATCTCAAGGTTTTTTTTATCCTGGTTCACTGTTCCAGCAATAGACAGGCATAACATTTAAGTTTCTCATATAAAGCCCAATACCTAGGCAAGTGTACTTTAAACAAGTCTTTGTCAAGAAATGTGTATTTATAAACTAATCTCACTATCATAGCTACCTAAACAGACACATACTATTTTCCATCTTAGAAACAGGCACTGTTTTCTTTCTACCCTTGTAATTGAAAGCAGAGGTGTCATTATTTTTGGCACATGACCTAGCTGACCAACGCTATATCTCCAGGTTACCAAGTTAGGAAAAGAATTTAGTATTCTAGCGTAATGTCTTAGGTACAATACACTATAAACACATTTTAATAGTTGGCTGAAACATTAGCTATGGAGTTTCAGAAGCCAGTTTTAAAAAGTATTAAAGTATAGAGAGAATGTATATTTTTACAGTGAAGGTAAAGATAATGCAACAGCAAATTACAAGTTTGCTATACTTCAATTTTCCTTCAAATTACCACCACTGGAATTTTTTTTTCTCTTTATTATCTTTCTCTTCAAAAGCTATAGTTTGCATTTTCTCACTGCTGTAGTGTTTGACCATGAACATGAAAAGGGTTTCCTTTTTTTTTTTTAAGATTTATTTATTTATACATACAAGAATTGGGGTATGAGGCCAGAGGTGCTGGAGGTAAGAGGACTCACCAGAGACAGAGTGGGGAGCAGAGCAGGCAGATCAACTGAAATATACTGCCAAGGGGAGCAGCAGGAGAGGTGATTTGCAGAGCCCAAACCCTGCCAGTAGATCAGTTCACTGGTTGGGGATCAAAGGCTTGCTGCTTGCTACAGTGGCTGTGGATAGCTTCTTAGTGCTGTGCTTAACCCCTTGCGACCCCAGGGAGGCCCCTGAAAAGGATTTCTATCTTAATAAAATTTAATATTTCTGAGTTCTGGGATCTGCTGCTTCTGTTTATTAAATTTTTATTCTATGGTTGTTTCTGTTGTCTGATTAGAAAATGAAGCCAGTTATTTCAACAGAGGAAACTTAATATAAAGAAATGTTAGCTAAGTATAAAGTTGCTACCCAGATAACTTCAGAAGGCAAGAAAGTAACTCTTAACATATCAGTTAACATTTGTAAAACCAGCACACTGTAAGATGAAGAAAAGGAAGTTTTAATTATTAAAACTTGCACAGAGAGCCCTGTGGATCAGACCTCTGAGAAAGAGAAAGTGAACATTGTTTATCTACTGTTGATATGGCTGAACTAATGGAGAGAAACACCCGTATCTCTGGAGTTAGGGTACTGACAGACTGATACTAGTTTGTTTGGTGAGTTACACAATGAGGTAATTCTGCAAAGGTTGAAAACTGACTTTTGGTAACTGCTTACAGGATGGAATTGCAGATGTTAGTGTGAAAAAAGCAGGTTTGAAATGATGCTCACAAGAACTGTAATAAGAAAATAAAGTGATACCGATGGAAAGAAGCATCTCTTGCAACCATGAATGAAGCCTCCTTCAACTCTTCTAATGGGCAAAGCCTAAATGTGATTTGCAGAACCCAAATCCTAGGATCACAGGTGGAAGGTTGAATTTAGAGTTAAAAGATAATAATTTATATCCATTTTTAGACTTTCAAAGGCTACGGGAAAAAGCCTGGTAACATAACTTAGGTCTTTAATAGTAAACACACAAGATTTTTAAAGAGTACAAAGTTTAGTCACATCATTGAAAATAACTTATATGATAATGTACTATAATAGTTTAACAGTTTGACTGCAGTGTTCAATTTATTAATTTTCTATTTCTTATATATCTTCTAATCTATTTTTTAACTTGTGTGCTTTAAAATCAAAGGTAAATTATAGCAAAAGGAAGTGCAAAACTTGAAGGTTCTGTTATATCAAATCTTCAGAGCTCTTAAATCTAAGCAGAAGTCTAAATATGCTACTTACTGCTAAGAACACCATAGTGATTTCGTATTGCCTGTCAAATTCACATTCCTCAGTGAGACTTTTAAACACCTGTAGTGATCACAACCTATTTTGCTAGCCTTATTATTTCTTATTTACTTGGATCTGTTTTGTCAAACTCTAGCCTGAGTGTATGACTTACCTGCCTCTAGGCTTTTGCTCAGGCTGATTTTTGCCTTCCACTGCCTTTGGGGTGGTTCGCTTTCCCTATGTACTTCATAGGTGCTTGTCAAAATCCTGTTCCTCCCGCCAACTATATTGTGAACCCTTAGTAAAGTTTGTCTTGATCTGAATAGCTAAATATGTTCTCTCTCCCCAACCTTTATTTTGCTTAAAGACCTTAAAATACCTTTGTTCTTGTTATAGAGAGACACTTTCACCATCTTCAGTGCCTGGCTAAAATTCTGTGTGTTTTTTAGGAATCCATTTAATCATCATTCCCTTTAGAAAAGTTTGTGCAACTGGCAATGATTAGATGTATAATATATCATTGTTTTGAATGAATTATTGAATATGGAGTTATCAAAATGTTCACAGTGAATAACAGAGACAGGTCTCCTCATTTCAAGACATTTCTACATCACAGTATCTCTGCCCACCTCCCATGCCCCCAATTAAGATTGTAAATTTTGTATGTGGAGAATATTCAGATTACATAATTGAAATGTTTTCCAGATAACAGCCATGAAAAAGTCTAAATGCCTCCTCCGTAAAAGGAAGGAAAAACTCAACCAAATCCCATAGCAACATATAAGTTTATCTTTTACAGTATGAGACTGGAGATACAGTAGTCATCTTCTGAGAATTTAAAAAAAAAAAAAGAAATTTCAGTCAAGATAAGTAGGGAATTAGAAATCAAAAATCCAAGTTGTTGCTACTGCTTTATTGTCATGCTTGGTACTATTTTTTGTAATCCTAGAAATGGGGCTCACATAATTCTGTTTCCCAACTATTAAGGGAAACATTTAGGTTCTGATCATATCTCTACTTCCCCTGCCTCTCTTGCACACTGGGGGAAAAATTGTTAATTGTCACAATTTTGTCCCATATGTGAAAACATGAACTCTTTGTTTGCTTGACCAGAAACAGGAAACCTCTGGGATAATGTGTCTTCAGCCCTGTTTGAAAGCTGTTTGATATGGCTTGTTAACCCAAGAAGAAATTAAAGCGTTTTCCTTGTTCGTGACTATAAAAATAATATTTGGAAAGTGCAGATTTTAAGTATTAAGAAAAAATATCACCCATAACTAAAGATGACAGCAGTAATGCATTTTAAATATTTTGTCTTTTTTTCTTGGACATTTTTTCTTATCCTTGAAATTATTTCTGATTTTGATCTCTCTTCATATAGTATTATAGCATAGCCATTTCTCATTGTTACTTTTAAAAACTTAATAAGCATTATTGAATTTTGCATAGAATTGTATTTTATGGATCTATCATACATAAAATTTTATTGTAAGATGTGACCCATTTTTTCCTTTATATCAAATAACATATCAGTGAACAACTTTTATTGTTCTTTTAAGATACTTTCTTAAATTAAGAAGATTTAAAAAATACATTCAAAAATAATATATCGGCCCTCCCTGGTGGCGCAGCGGGTTAAAGCACTGCACTGAGAAGCTAAAGCCACTTCCGCATGAGTTCGATTCCCGCCTG